AAAAAAACAGCCATCGCCAGAGTCGTTCCACGTCATCGTCTCAACCCCTTGTACCCCAACTTCAATGTTGTCGGGTCAGGCTCGGTATCAGCGGCCTTCAGAAAAAACAGCCATTCAGGTCGGTACATGTCAGGAGACCAATCAGCAACATTGAGCTGGGGGCATACGGGGGATTCAAGAAATCTTTTCATCCCTGACTTGATGGCTGTTTTTTTTGAAGAACCCGGGGAGATTTTTTTTGGCAACGTTGATCGGCGTCATGCTATATCCATAGTCAACACAACCTGTGACAACCTAAGGGGGCACCTCTCCACGTCTTTTTCGCGGTATCTACTGTTGCCGTGCTTGGAACCTGCTATACCTTATATAGCTGCCATGCAACTGACAGTCAACTCACAGTCAACTCACAGTCAACACGACAGTCAACACGAGCACTTTTCCTGAGAATTCTCAAGCAAAACGCGCGTTGCGTGAGGAAACTTTAGAATTTCCAATCTAAGACTGGAGTTGGGGCTGCAACTGTCCAAAATGCGCTTCGACTGAGAATTCTCAGGAAAAGTGCTCGTGTTGACTGTCGTGTTGACTGTGTGTTGACTGTCGTGTTGACTGTGTGTTGACTGTGTGTTGACTGTCAGTTGCATGGCAGGCGCAAGGAATCAGCGACCTGAAGCGACCAAGTCCTGCACCTGCCACGAAATATCGCATTACGGGCTCCAAAGTACCGCGCCTGCCACGTGAAGTGCAGTGCACCAAAATTCCTAGCCCCGTATTTTCGCTCATTCTGGCCTGGCCTCGAAAACTTGTCTGACTGTGTCTGCATCGTCTCAACCACGGCCTGACTAGTGTCCCTCTTGAGTCTTCAATGTTGTCGGGTCAGGCTCGGTATCAGCGGCCTTCAGAAAAAACAGCCATTCAGGTCGGTACATGTCAGGAGACCAATCAGCAACATTGAGCTGGGGGCATACGGGGGATTCAAGAAATCTTTTCATCCCTGACTTGATGGCTGTTTTTTTTGAAGAACCCGGTAGTAAGGCACTTGTTACTAGTAGCGATGCACTTGTTTCTAATAGCTTCTTGTTACTACAAGTAAGGCACTTGTTACTACTAGCGTGGCACTTGTTTCTAATAGCTTCTTGCTACTACTAGTAAGGCACTTGTTACTAGTAGCGATGCACTTGTTCCTAGTAGCTTCTTGTTACTCTGTCAACATGATCATCTCCTGTTCTGTGGTGCTTTCCGGTTCCCCACAGCCCAGAAATCAACAATGATCCAAAGTGGCCTCCTGGTGCGTCACCTCCGGCCCAGCGCGAAGCAGGCGTTGCAGAGCTGTGCGCAAAGCGATGCCATCCGCCATAGAGGCTTCCCATGGTGCTCAACACAACCGCTAAATCATACAGCTTGCAGGCCTGTAAAGTTTAAAGGCCAAAGGAACATGTTGCCAATGGGTTGCCCTTGCCTGATGCAGGTTATCAGTGATAGAAACTTGATTCTGGTAACATTGCAAGACTGGGAACAACATTTCCCAGATATATACAACAATTACTGAGCTGACGAGCCTCAGTAGCCCCGATTCGGGAAGCAAGAGTCTTGCAGAATACGCTTGACTTTGCTTTAGATGAAGGTTCAGTTTGGATCGATGTGTCTGGAACTGACGCTTTTGCTCCCCCCAGACCAAGCCATCTGTCATAAATAAGATGATGGGCCGCCTTCCTCAGATCCTCTGGCAAAGGCAGCTTTGCCTTGTGGAGTTCGCCATTTGCATCTCGAAATGTCAGCCTGCACCTGCATCTCTCTAAGTGAGCGTGCGGTATTTGGTACGTTTTGAGATCAGGTTTTTGCATGTTTTTTCAATGTTTCAATCCGTTTGTGCCTGTGCAGGAAGTTCCGTTCGGACAACCCCAGGTCGCCCTGATAGGTACGCCATGAAGTGTACCTTCCATCACTGACAGTGGGATGCCCAATGTATGCACAGTGGCTGCGAATCTGATGCCGGCGACCAGTGCAAACTCGAACAAGAGCCATTGTGTAGGTACCTGAGCCACGGCACACTCGGATGGCAAAAGTATCCGAAAGATTCCGAAAGCATTCTTCTCTTCAACCGCATAGTTTCCTGCTTCGATCACATGAGGTTTGGGCTTAGTGCAAGATGTGCAAGCGTTTGGAAAACAAATTGGCACGAGCAAGACTAGATGTGGTGATGACTATTCAAGTGCAAGGCTTCAAGTTCCAAAAATATGTTTCAGGTCAGCCCCATCGCCTGCTTGGAGCATCACATCATGGAGTAAACCACAGTACAGTCATGAATGCATCTTTCCAGCAGACTCGGTCTTTTTGAAACCACATTTTTTGTTCCAACCAAACGGAACGTGCACCAGGCAGGGGGGGAAACCTGAAACTGTTCTGGCTCAAGTTCAGGTTCTGGTGAGGTGTGTATTGAAACAAAAACAGCAACACTATGCAACACTTATATAATACGTCATTTGTGAATCTTGGCAGCTAACTATGATGACTCATCTCCCACATGCTGTATAATTGCAAGCGCCTTCTGACTCAAACTCAAATCCGTAAATTGATGTAAATTGAGACGTATAGAAACTATCAACTTGCCGAAGCAAGCAAAACAGTCGTGATGCGCATCCTTGTCGTGGTGTCTACCCATGCTTGCTTGTACATCTCACTACTGGTCACTGTCACAGTTTTTCATTTCCTCACACCGTCTGGCAAAAGCCGCAAAAGCTCAGGTGAAATAATCTTGACACCCCTCGCCTTGCCGTTTGCAATCCAGGCGCTTCCGTTCATCCCAGCGAAGGCCACCACTGAGACCCGGGTTTCGGATGGTTTGCCTTGCCCTCCTGAACGCGTTGCAAAGTTGCCAGTCCAATGCAGCCTCTGCGCTGATGCTGGGAGGAACACAAATTGGCTGTGCAAAGAACCCATACCCGTCAAGGATGGGGGACAACTAGTCTGTGCATTGTGGCCAACTGAGGTACCAGTCAGTGTTTTGAAATGTGTTGAACCCACTGCCAAAAAGCCTGGCATCCACTTTATGCCGCTTCAATTTGCCATGGTTGAGAACCACATAATCCCTCGCCAATGATCTAGATCGCAATTGAAGCTGTAAGTCATAGTATGCTGCATAGGTCTTGGCAGCTAAGATCAAGCCAGAGCTTGGCACGTCCAAACGATGGAGGAATCCAAAGTCGCTGTCTGCATCATCCAGGATCTTCCAGCTGACCATGGACTTGAGCCACCAGTGTAGCTGGTTTGGGGTGCCACCATCATGTACCTCCCAGCCAGTGGGCTTCGTCAAAACCAACCTGTCCTTCAAGTCGCTGACAATGTCGGGCGAAAGCTCCGAAAGATCTGTCGGGCGAAGCGGCAGTGCACCAACCTTCCAACTTGCACAGGCTGCGCTTTTCTCGTGACCCCAGCCTTTATCATCCTTTATCCATCATCCATTCAAAAGCAACATCATTGAACATGACACCTCACCCATTACATCATATTCAGTAACAGGGACGCTATTAGGTGGAGGCCATCTCTCGTGGCTTGGAGGCCATTGCTACTAGTAACAAGAAGCTACTAGGGTGGAGGCCATTACTACTAGGAGCAAGGACGCTACTGGGTTGGAGGCCATCGCTACTAGTAGCAAGGAGATGGCCAGCCTTTATCCCTTGGTCCTGGGCTGCGGCTGCCCGCGCCACGAGCTTCCGAGCACCTCTTTCTGGCATGCAAAAATAACTACAAAGGATTCAGTACATCTGTGTGATGTCTACAAGCCTTTGATTTGCTTGGCACTTGTGCATTTGCCTGGAATATGTTGCAAGCACAAACCATTTACAATACTTAGTTCTGACAACAAAAAGTATACATTCAATTTGAAGTTGGAGGATCGGCTGCTCATGAAGCAGTGTCACGGTGTCACGAACAATGCACAAGTAGTCCCGTCCTTCTCGAAAGCGCTGGCTGAGACACACAGCAAAACTGCTGGCCCAAAAAAATCCCGAGCAGATCTTCAATCCAATCTCGACCTACATTTGACGTGCATTGGTCCAGAATTGCAATTTGGATACTTGGATTATTTGGACTCACTTTCAACAACTATAACTACAAATCCAAACGCACCTGGATGAAATTAGCCAGGGTGCAACCAGGATCTTTCAAATCAACCTCTGAATTGCTTCTTGCCATGCGCTTTAGCACCTCATCCTGAATTGCAGTAAGCAAACCTGGTCTGGCCCTCATTGACGCACTTCCCCATGTCACAAGTTGCAGCTCGGTCATACCTCTGCTGCTCACTGGGTTCGTGGGGGACAGGGAAAATTTCCACCAGCCCCACTGCCGTACACGTCTGTACTGTGGGGGGGCTTTACGGTATCACCTGTGTCCAGCTGTGATCCCCCAAGAAAAACCAAAGGACAACATCCCTGATAGAAAGATATTGTTTTCTTGTTCACAGCTCAAGGGCTACTACGGTTTTGGTCGGGCAAAGCAATGCAACATAATGCATCTATGATCATCTATGTAAAACCTCCTGCTAAATCTTGCTAAACCTCTGCCGCCAAGTTGCTGAGTTGCTCTAAACATTCATCGAGTGGCAGTCTGAGCACGTCTTTGGGACTCACTCCGAGCATGCCCATGGCCCAATAGAGCTTTGGGAGGTCACGAGTTCCCAGGTCATGAGGTCCCCGTGACCAAACCTGTGAGTCCATGGTGCTTGGTCCGCGTGAGCCGCAGTGAGTTGAAATCCGCGTGAACACGTACGACAAGGGCGACAAAGGGGGCAGCCACTTCTCACATTCCACACACACTTGTAGATATGCGTACTGACTTGACAGCGGTGCCACACGCCAGCCTAAGAAACCCAAATCCTGAAAGGTCCAGGAAAGTCCTAAAGAGCTTGGGGGTCTTCAAAAGGAAGCGAGGCCAAAAACCTCAAGGCGGAGCTGATCCGACAGGATGACGACGGTCGCTCACATCTGCAGATGCATTAGCACTTTACAAAAGAAAAGGAAGAAAGGTGGCCACCAGCTGCGTCTTACAATGCGCCCAGGTGCACCAAGCAGGTACGTTTTCACGACAGCTTGGATGGGTCTTCGTTGGCCCATGCCATCCAAGTGTCCATAGGCCCCCTGCTCATTGTAACAGAAAACAATTCAAAAGAATCCCTGTGACTACAAGGGGCACACACACACACACACTCTCCCTCCCTCCCTCCCTCCCTCCCTCCCTCTCTCGCTCTCTCTCTCTCTCTCTCTCTCTCTCTCTCTCTTTCTCTCTCTCTCTCTCTCTCTCTCTCTCTCTCTTGGATTTGCCTGGGCCAAGGCCTTCTGGATTTCATGTGGATCCTGAACGGTCATCCTCGCCATAGCCCACACGAGAGATGCTGCTGACTGTGCAGTGGTCCGCGGGTAGCACGCTAAGAGCTCACGCCCCAATGAGATGTCAAACTGGTCGCACATACTCATTGCAGCGTTCAAGCTCATGAGATCTGGGGATGGCATTTCCCAGAAGATCCTCAAGGCCAGCTGCCATTGGTCAATGCAATTGCTGAGAATGTTCAGGCAAGTTGTATCTGGCCTTATCCAATTCCAATGCATGCAGTCCAAACGATTGATGGCTGACATCCATTGTGTCGCCTTTGCAGTGGGTTGGAGGGCTGCCACGCAGCTTCGGGTGTCAACTTCCAGCAGCAATTCCGGAATCACACCAATTAAATTGATGCATCTTTGCCATGCTTTCTGGGATGCTGCACTGTAGGTGGCAATATTCTGGCGCACGGCTGCGTCCACCAAGCTTCTTGCCAACGAGAGCGCCTTCAAATGACCAGCATGATCACATGTGACAGGGTGCCCAAGGGAATTTCAACTGGGGGTCAACCTGTGAGGGGTTCGCGGCAGCAATTCAATCCAACCGCACAGCTGGCCTGTTCCCATGGATTGCTCGCAGCATCTACACTCATGGTGCTGAGCGTTGAAGTCATGCTGAAAACTCCTGGCGGGACTTGCAAAATGACCAGCATCACTTACACGAAATAACACCGCCCGATGGAGAGTGGCAGGCACCAGGCCAACTATTTCTGAGACCTGAAACAACCTCAGCTCTTTTTGCACTCCTTGACGCAACGAAATCCTCTGCATTGAGCACAAGCTCTGCAAAGCCATCTCCCACAACGCCATCAGTTCGAAACTTTGAATCTGCAAGTGGAGGCCTTGGTGCTTGGCAGGGACACCGGGCATTCCTCCAACTACAAAATTTCATCCTGCCTTGGGAATGAACAAACATCTCTTGCACATGTTTGTCAACTTGATTTGCTTGTGCTTAGACTTTAATGGTTGATTGCATCCGGGCATCTTGTTTCGTCAGCCGCAATCCTCACAAAGCAGGGAACTTCTAGTCTTTTCATTGAACCCCCCACTGTGATCGGCATGCAGAAGTCTCTTGCGGCTCTTTGTACTTTGCAGCGGGAGAACGTGCCCAGCATTTCTTTTTGTATCCTTTTTTCCGCCCTGCTGTTCCGCCCGGCATCTGATGGAAGAAATCGTAAATCAAACAATCCCACCTTCGGAAGGCCATGAGGTCCAACAGTGCAAAGGTCCGCTCCCACTTTGTGCGACAGCCACCAAGTCCAGCATTGCAAGCAATGGCATCGGCCGAGCCAATGGCCTGGGGATGACCACGGACATTCGGTGATTGGACGCACCTTCCGACTTCATGCGATTTCCAGTTGATTTCATGGATTAGAACCCCGTATCCATTGCAATGTCCCGAAGTCATGTTATCGTTGTTTTGCTCTTATCGTTTTCTCGGGCGGTGGGATGAAATGTTAATTTCCGGCTCTGTGGGTGCGAAAGCACCCTTGGCCGAAAGTCAACGCATGTCATCTATCCCTTTCATTTCGCATTCATGTTCTTTAAATTCTCTTCAAATGGTGATACGCTCAAACCGGTCATGTGGGTATCCTCCGCGGTGCTCGCATTTTTGTTCATACAGTATTGTTGTCTCTTTTTAATCGTTTTGTAGGCCTGTGCAGGTTGCCATCTTCAGGGTTCATGAACATGTACATGTATAAGCTGGCTATCGTCGTTTTATTCGAATCGTTTTCTGGGCCAGCAATGCATTGGCAGTGTTAAGGGGCAGGCCCATACTAAAGTGCAAGGCGCGGGGTTGCTATACTGGTAACTTCTAGCTACTGGTAGTAATGCCCTTGTTCCTAGTAGCAATGCCCTCGTTACTAGTAGCTTCTAGCTACTAGTAGCCCATGTGTGGATCTCGGGGCCAAGGAGCCAGAAGAAGCAATGTGGCGCTTTCCCAGGCAGTTGCCTATCACACTCGAGTGATTGGACTGGACACAGAATGCTACAGCTTTGGCACATGCCCCCAACTCTCTCATTAACACAAAATCCCCCCTCGAATTCCTGCTGTGTCCAGGGGAGGTTGATTCTATAAGGAAAATGTGCCACAGAATCAACCACCCCAGGTTCGCCAATCTGAAAAGCTTTACAAAATCAAACCCCCCAGGACGCAGGCAAGGGACAACTCTCAAGCCGATATTACAAAATCAACTGCCCCAGTCTCAAGATACAGTCTTTACAAAATCATAGGCACTCTGTTGACATGGCTCGGTACAATTACAAAATCAACCCCCCTGAGGCCTCGAACAAGATACAAAATCTCAATCATTAAACCTGGATTGGAAAAACTAACGATTTTGTAGTGATGCGGCGCGACCTCATCGATAAAACGATACAATACGATACGATACGATTCGTCTCACAGCCCTCACGGTTCGTCATCACGTTTCCTTTCTTATGTTTTTTTCATGTTCTTGCAGTGTCCCGCAGATCACTTGCACGAACCTACCCCTACCTCGCATGCCAGCAACTGCAAGAGATGTGTGCGGGTTCCAGGGTTGCGTTGGGAGTTGTTTGCACAGACCTTTGGTCGCCAGATGCTTTCTAATTTCCTTCAAAACGGCCCCCCGATCCAGGGGCCGTTTTGTGGTGCAGAATCCTGGGAAAACAATAGGTTCTAGATACGACATTTGAGGGATGGCGACGTCGCAATGAGGCGTCAGAGGAGGACGGGATCGCGACAAATGATCTTTCATATATGGCCACGGGCTTTGAGGCTCATCTAATTTGTTTACAAAATCAGAGGCACCAAGAGAGCGCCCAGGGGCACTTATACAGAATCATGCTTCCCAGTCTCGGTGTCCTTATCGCACGTGGGGATAAAGCAAAATATAGCTATGCTGTGTGGTACGAACTATGATATGTACAAACTTGTAAAGAAAGGTCTGCCTTTTAAAGAGTTTGCGGTGATTTGTTTTGATGGGAGGTGCAGGAACCCCAGCGTCCAAGAAGGCGCAGAAGGCGAAGAGTCTTCAAGCAGAAGGCAAGTGAAGCGCGGATGTATTTGTTTTCTTGTGAGTACACGTTGTTTCTGCTCTTTTGTTCCAAAGCACCTTGGACTCCCCAAATCAACTTGGAGGAGCTAAGTCAATACATGCTGGTCAGCATTGGATGCAGCCCTGGTACGCTTCGACTTCCTAATGCACTACTCAGACCAACCTGCACGCCCAACTGCTGAGACCACACCTCCCTCTACACCAATACGAAAAGGAGGTGGGCTCTACGTGCAACGTGTGTTCTTTTCTTGTTCATGAACAGGTGGATTGAATTTGTAAAACCGTGTAACCATGTAAAACACATTTGCACTGATCCACCAAACATCACCAAACCCTTGCATGATTATTTACCAAGAAGGCATCAACGACCCAGAAAGGGAACGAGTTTAACATCATTTGAGCACCTTTGAGCATGAGCCAGTGCCTCCCAGTTCACTGGTTCAAACATCAACTCAGCAGCGAGACTCAACGAGGCTCTTGGGATGCCTGGTGTGCGTGTGTGTGTGTGTGTGTGTGTGTGTCTGTTCTAATATATCCTATGAATTCCTATGATATATCATGATTTTTTTGCGAATTATTAAGAATTTATAAGACATTATAAGACCATGTTCTACAGCAGCTCAACCCACTACAAAATCAATCGTCCATGCTTTACAGCAGGTCAATCGATTACAGAATCGACTGTCCATGACAACCACCCCACCCTCAAACTTGCATAGAATCAAGGACCCCACCCTCACCAGTGCGGCACTTTTGACATCCATACCAACATATCGATTCCTTACAAAATCAACAGCCCCAAGAAAGAATGCTGCCCTTACAAAATCAACCTCCCCCCCACAAAAACGGGAACCTGGAAACAAACTTTTTTCTTGACAATATCGAAGCTCTTTTTGTTACCCAGGTAGGTTGATTTTGTAAAGGAAATTTCAACGGGTATAACACAAACTATTGTGATCCATCTGGCCTGACTGCAAGCTGAAAGGGCAGCTGTACCTCAATGTTCAGCATCTCTGTGTGACATCAAATATGCTGTATTGACAATCCAGTATTGTGCTGTGCTCTGTCTCACCCTGCTCAGTTGTTCCAGCCCTAGTCGAGTTCACTATCCAACAGCAGGGAAAATCATTCAAGAACAACCAAGAACATCCTACTGCACTGGCCACGGACAAAGATGCGGAAAAGGATAGATCGGATGAACCTGGAAACAATGGACTCCTCAAAATTATCCTTCTCCAAATCTATGTAAGTGGCCAGGAGTAGATCGGCCAGTTACATCCAAGGAGGACACCGGCATTACCCAGCTCCATGGCCGCTTGCCAATGAGCCCCTCCCGCAGCCGCTTTGGCCATGTAGTTCAAAGCTACATCATCGAAACCTTCAGGAGTTGTCAAGTTTTCATGAGTTCACCACACTTAGATGCACTTGGCATCAATGCCAGTGCCATGCTTCGTTTCAGAAAACCAAAACGTATAGTAAAACGGCGCGTCCGCTTGAAGGGGTCTGCGAAGGTGGCCTGGGGCATTGGACAAAAGCAGCATGGTCTTCTGCCACTCGTTTCCGACCTGGCAATTGCCTCAAACGAACCGGAAGAAAGCTGCGAGCAGCAAATCAACCACCCATGGATGGACACATGAATCATTGATCATGCCCCCACCGAAAAAGTGCTAGCTATGAGTAGGCTTGAGTAACCATGACAGTAGTTTTTGTAGCACTCTCCCGCTAAACAGAACATCCAACCGCCCAAGTTACCGGCAATGCTGTTGTAGTTGATCAAGTCTGGCTTCATCCTCACAGGGAATGAGAAAAGCGTTAGGCAGCTCAGCTCGTCACGTCGGACACGTCCTGGTGGTTGGCATCGCCTCAAGCATCCAAAGTGCATAAGGCCAATGGAAGCTCTGCTGGAAGGTCTTAAGAACCTCATCTCAGCTGGTGGTATTGAAGGACTACCACTGCTGGTCTGAATGGTCTGAGCGGACGTGTGAATTGCCACAAAGCTGAAAACATCATCCATCGTCCCCAATGGGTGAGCTACCTTTGGACTCTACAGGTGCCTGCCTATGGTTGCCACTAGTTGCCAATGATGTGACACCTACAGGGCAAAGATATGCAAAGATACCGTATGCAGATTGGTTCTGGTGTTGGGTAAGGTCTTGACATGTCTTGACCCACAAGAATGGGCATAGGCGGCTGATCTAGCTGTGGCAACCAAGCCGGCTCTCACACCGAGGCACCCCGGTCGTGCTGCTCTGCGTGGGAGCAACGCTCCACAGGGACCAAGCACGTCGCCACAATCCGAAAGAAGGTCCTTTCGTGGAGAGGCTTCGCGCGTCTGAATCATCTCAACTTCGCAGCCCATTGGGTCAATCTCTCTCTCTCTCTCTCTCGTCATTGTGCTCTCTCGATATATCTCGATGTATATGTATATATAACTATAGTATAGTATATTTATATAGTATAGCCTTCTTGCCTTGGCAAGCGCCAATGGCCGAACTGACGCCCATATCTTCAGCTCTTAAGGCACACATTGTCATGGCGTGCAGCATGTTCACTGCCCAAGTCCAAATACCTCAGGCCAAGGAGGTTGCGCAACACTACATGGATTTCCTTCTTCCTACAAGGAGACACTCTGGCATTGATGCAGGAGACCCAAAGACTTGCACGAGGCGATTGCTGTATTGACACTGCAGCCATCCGCTCGCAAGAGGTCCTGTGACGCTCACAGAATCAACATCATCAACCTCACAAGCTCCAAACGTCAAACAACCGGGTCTTTCTCAGGTTTACACTGGCTAGGTTTTCTGAGAGCTCTTCCAGCTACGCTGACGCTGCTACTACCGCACTGCTGCACCTGGAGCTCACATATGCTCCTCTCTACCACGCTCCTGCTGCAAATTTCTCAGCCACTCCAGTGATGCTTGCCAATGTCCTCTTCGACTGCGGCTGCTCATCAAAACCTCGGGCAGTGAATCGTCCAAACCTCCTCATAGTGTTCACAACAACCTGCACACTTTCGTTATGCATAGGTAGATTGATGGCATGCTTGATGTACAGCAGTCAGCAGTCTTGATCTGTGTCTGAGCTGAATATGAGTCTTCTGTCTTATGAATGCGTCTCCCAAGCAGCATTGTAGTGAAAGTAGTTCAGCTCGATTCCCTGTGCTTTGAGTTCTTGAGCGGCTGCATGGCTGAATTCTTGCTCTTGAGCCTAAGCATTCCAACCAGAAATGAGCGGCACATTTGAGAGCATTAAGCAACACAAGCCACAAGCCAAGTAACTTTCGCTTTCAGCCGTTCCGTCAATGCCCTTGCATCAACGGCGGCCGCCATCAAACCGAAGCAAACTGCATCAGGCAGTGTGACATGATATGCGCGACCCGTGTGAATAGCTGCGGTCCAGCATCATGCGATACTGCAGCACTATCTCAACTCTCTGTTTCCAACCTCAAGCAACTCCGTAGCATACGGCTACTATGTGAGAGTCATCGTGACAGCCTGGTGTGTTGCACGCCGACGTCTCTTGAAATCACCTCGTCTGCCTTTTCTTTGCGAACGCATGCCAGCTGTCGGCTCATCACAAGGCTGGCTCGAGCTCAGGGAATGTGCTTTTGAAGTCCTCTAGGAAACTTCAAGAATTGATCAAATCATATCAAATCGACCTGCATTGGCTCTGACAAACCAAGGGCATCAAAGGACAAACCCTCCTTGACGAAGAACTCCAAATCTGGCTCCACCTTGCAACAAGCATCAACTTTGCCGTCGACAGCCCTGTGATCCGAACATTTCCGAACTCCAAGGATGCTTCTGATTGCTTTGAGTTGCCTTCCTTTTACTTCTCCATCTTGTTTACAATGACACTTGACACTCCAAGGTTCCCAAACCCCCCAAGCTCACGCCATGCCGTTTTTCCGCGCGCCTTCTTTCTGCTGGCCTCCCCAAGGCGATCGGTAAACACCTCAGTGGATGTTGCCAGTTACCACCTCTTCAACCTTTGCCGAGGCCGAAGCAGGATGAAAGATAAAAGGCCAAATCAAAACAAGCCATCGGCAATACCATCAAGGTGGTCGTACTCGTGGAGAAAGAGCCGTGCCTGCACAAGGTGGTCACACCTCGTGCCACCCCAAGCCCATCCATTTATACTATAATACATCCTGATGCTGCTGTCGAATCCCACGAGCAGACGTGTTCAGCGGGCATTAATTCCATTAAATTTCTACTAATCGATGGGTGACAGTTGGTGGGTGTTGGTGTTGTGTCAGTGATAAGCTTTGGCAGGTGATGCCTGCGACGGCACATGTTTGGCGGCCTATCACACACACACACACTTACTGTACTTGGCAGAACTTAACGCTTTGTGTTGGACCCTGCTGGATCCCCAATGAAAGAACACTTATATAATGGGGTGGATTTTGCAACAACTTGTAAACCTATACATTACACATTAAAGCACTCCCCCCCTCTAGGCTTGCGGTGCTATACAAGGCACGACAGATTCCGCAACTGGACACCAAGAAGTCCTTTACAACCAATGTTCTAAGCGCCGTCGTTGTGGAGACTTGTAGGAACGCTGAACATCAGCGAATTGACTACGATGAGCCTGAGAGATCGCCATCGCAATACATCAATCTTCTGGCAATTTGTGTATTGTAAAGCGATCACTGGACCAAAAGGGACCAGCACTTAGTAGGAGACAGCAACAAATCCACTTTTCTTTTCTCCGCAGGCTTGAGTCCGCTCATGGATACTTTGCGCCAGTGAGTTGCCTCAGCAAAGGTCATGCAACACCAACTTCGCCCGTACCTGACTGGAGCAAACCATCTATTTATACATATATATCTTATAAATATATATAGCTATATATATAATATATATATTTATATTTGTATTATCGGGTATCTGGGACATTGGAAGGACAAAAGATCTTCGGATATCTGATGCAAACATTTAGGCCTAACTTTCATTTTACGCGGCCTTCCGTATAAACGTTGCCTTTGTCCTTCTTGTGCGAACAAGATTCACCAGCTCATCCCAAAGCCGCCGACGGGAGGCCTCACCCTCACCACAGCAGAAGTTGTTCCCAGAGCCCGAGGTCTTTTGAAAATAGTCCTCTCTTCTCCAAGGCAAGGTCTGTACGCGGACTTAGTTGTCTCGTCCAAGCCATCCGAGCATTCTTGAAGAACAAGCACTTCTTTCAGGCCCATTTTTCATGGGATTCATTCATCATCATCATCATCATCATCATCATCATTCACACTCAACAGCAGGCTTGATGATGCTCGACTGATCTTGACCAGCTGTTTCTTGTGCTGTGCTCTAGGGCATGACTGGGTTTAAGGATTCAGCATGAATTCAACCACAAAGCTTTCTCTGAAGGACCTGTCCAAAAGCAAATCCACGGCCAAAACTACTTAACTTGGATTGACAAAAACTGTTTTGAGAACTTTGTGATATTCAATGCCGTCCTGCGTAAGCATCTCGAAGGACGTGGTGGCTGTGGAGACAGGTTGGCCCCAAGAGCCCCAGCCAGCTCGAAGCATCTTGGTGTCCACTGTTCCGGGGTCCATGGTGTGAAAGCAAAGCCTGGACATCATGGTCCAGGGTCTGATGGTCATGAATGGTCATGAATGGTCATGTGAATGAATGGTCATGAGACAGTACTCAGCAATATGACCGTATGAGATAGCTTCACAAAACCCCAAAAAATCATCCACAAAATTTTCCATGAATGTGATTTGATCCCAAACATTTCTGAAGCTGCAACACACCACACTCTCTGCACTCTCTGGCTCTGTCAACACATCACATGGCCTCATCTAAGTGCCGATGCGTGCCATGTCTAATCTCCGAACCTTCACCTGCCTTGGAGGATCGCCATAGCGGGCATGGAGTTCCATGGCGATCATGGCATCCTAAGAGGGACTGTGACTGTTTGGGATCGTAGCTGCGTTGCGGCAATTCAATAAGCCCGATAACTGCTTGGAATCTTAGTTCACTTTTGTGTTTCATCATGTTGCCTTTCAGCGAAAGTACCAGAACGTGGCAACTTTGAGAGTCTTGGCATTGAGTTGGCGACAGTTCTTCAAGGCTTCGGCTGAGTCTCGCAAAGTTTGCTCAGCTCGTAAGCCCTGTGGTCGGACCACCTCTTTTCACATTGCAAATCGCTGAGGGCATCTGTGGATCCAGAAGAGATTGAGGAGGTAATGAGAACGCGGCCTGAGACTCTGTGACAGCATTGGTGCCACATTGTCATTGAACAACAGTCTTTCAACAATTTGCTCGTCTTCTGAACTTAAACGGAAGAGTAACTTCACCCACCTGCGCCGGAAGCACGCACATTCTCCAAAAGCAGCGAGGTCAGCAAGAAGGGTGCCATGACATTCACTGCCAACCTCAGGAGCAGCACATGCTTATTCAGGCTTGCTAAGGATTGTCATTGTTGTCAATTGGTTGGTGGCCAAGCACCTTCCCTTGTCATCCTGGACTTCCGCACCCAAACGCCCAGCGGCGAATACTCGTTGCCCTCCAACGTGACCTTCCGTTGTCCAGTGTAATTTCCAGCAAAGGTGCCAGCGTTGTTGAGCAATCCGTGGATGACCTTTGGCATTGGCGATGGAACATTTTGCAAGCTTTTGTTACTACGTCTCCCATGCTTTTGATGGCAAAACTGTAGCTTCCGGGATGGCGGCCGGAAAGTCTTTGGAGACTTGCTCACCCAGCTTCCGCACATCTGACATAAGGCTCAAGTCAGCAACCTGAAGGCAACCATGCAAACAAGCTAGAGCCATCAAGGAATTTGCGGCCTCAGGCCTTTGCACACGTCGTCTACATTTCAGTAATTAGTAATTAGAAATTAACGCTTTGTGCAAAAAGAGCGGCCTCAAGGTTCCACTCTAAACAGTCTCAGGGCCCTGCATATCCATGCACCTTGGTGTATCTCTGCAAGCGCTTCACCAGTGCATCGACTTTGGCTGGATCTCGGCCATGCACGACCAAAGTGCAGCGCTCCTGAAAGACAGCTCAAAGATGGGCATGAAAGGTTCGATTTGGCAATGACCATCATCATCTCATCATCAACAACATCATCAACTCATCCTCATCCTCATCCAGCCATCTGTTCCCCCCAAAAGCTTCAGCGGTACATCTGACTGTGACCAAATGGTGCCTGCCTTTCAACACTAATTTATATATATATATATATAATATAGGCGGTCTGAGGTTGGTGTTGCCGCCTTGTAGGGGTCTCCCCCTTCGTCCTTGGCCAAGAGCTCGGCCGTGAACTCCCCGATGCCTGAGGTGGCCCCTGTGACCATGACAACGCGCCCGTCTTCACGAGCCATAGCCGACCGCGCTTGGCGTTTTGTGACACGGGTCCAATGCCTTCGTTGGTCCAATCACTAAAGTGCCCACGGGTTGAGTATTTGAGTGCAGGTTCGCGGCTGTTGTTTCAAGCGAAAACATCATGTTCATAGTTGCATACGTGAACTAGGCAATGTCAGGCCGATATGGCTGGATGTCATTGACCTGAATCATGGACCCTTCGGTCTAAGATCGGAAAGTTCTTGATGGTGACACTTATGTCATTTTTTTCCAGGCAGGCAATGGAAAATCGATGTTTTCTATTTCTATCATCACTTTAATTTGGATCCTCTCGAATATGGTGTCATCGTGACATAAGATACTCAGGCTACTGATCAGGAGAGCCAAGCTCGCAGCAGCGTGCTCACTCACTCCACTCGCATGAGGTGTTTGTTGGCTTGATAAGGACCTCCCGGGCCCTCCCATTCCTCCAGACATTATATACCCTATCTCAATCCATAAGGGCTAGGACCGGTGACCTAGCTAGGACGGCTACAGTAGGAGCATCGTGCGGAACTTCCATCACTTCCATGGCCGCGTGTCCGCCCCCCAGCCTCGAAACCATCGATGCGGCGCTCGAAGGGATTCCCGTCCCAATCAACAGCCTGGCGGTTGTTGTCCCAACTGTATCCATGGTTTCCCCAAGAGAAGCGCTGAAACACATTGAGCACGACGGACACACATCATGCAATGCTTCTGTGTTGTTGCGATGCTTCTGTTAGAGTCGTTGCGTGTGTGACTTAGACTGATGCACTCCATTGTTTTCGCCCTCCAACTGTGCGCATCTCCCTTGCCTTCTCACTCTCCCCCCTTAGCCCCTGTCACACCTTTATTAAGCGTAATACAAGTGTAAATATGCAGTTGCCTCTTTTTCGCACAACATCGCAGTTACCACTCGAGGGCTGAAGTGGTTGAGGAAAGCTGGCCGTCTCCTTTATCGTCAGCGGCTCGCATGGGCTCGCTAAGAAATTGAAAACTGTCATCAAACAATCTACACGGCACCTCTCCAGAACACACATCAACACAAACTGATTGTTTGCGTCGCTAGAACGCATATAGTACCGGTCATTAGCCTGTCGCTGCATTAGCAGCTGTGGGACACTTTGGCCATTACCTTTACAAGCTGGCATTTCTTTGTGCCAGTCCCACCCATCAGCATTGGGGCAACGAGGTGGGATCCATGAACACCCACTCAAGAAGAACAAATCAAAAGAGCCTCGCGGGCCTCACACGTGGAACGGTTCGCTTGTGGACATAGCTGATGCCGCTCACCACCACAAATATCAAACACTATCAAACAGTTGCTTTTCTATGCTTTAGTGACCTTCACTCTGGTCAACCCCTGTGCCCTGACTGGCTATAGGATGCCGTGGGTATGTATATAGATTGGAAGCTTGGCCAAGCAAACACCCTGCATGAGAGTAGCTGAGTAGCTTTAAAACATGTTCCTCTTCACAACTGCAAAAGGATCGGTTCCCTGTCCCCTTCTCCAGACGCCTCATCGGAGTCGTCGTGTTCAGACTCAGGGTCCAAGATTTCACGCCATCTTTCTTGCCAACCCTCCACCATTTCCTGAGCAAGGAAGAAATCACCGGGCCACGGATGTTGCCAATGCTACGAGTACTCTCTAGTTTCTGAGCATGTCTAATGCTCCATGCTCACGGAGTTTGAGAGCATGCATTCTCCCTTCGCGGCGCAGCAATGATTTCAGTTCGAGAAGGTCAGAGTGGCCGTCACATCTACTGGCCTGCCTGGATACTCCATGATACTCCACGTCCTTCGGCCTTTTATGGCCCCGCCATAGCGACTGAAAACGAAAAAGCAATAAGAGATAATAAGAGGACCATGGACAAACAATGGGCTTGAACGGATTTAGCAATGGAGCTGGACAGTTTCTTCGAAAGGGAGCGAGAGGATGCGAGGGGACGAAAAACAATCAGCCTTGAACTGACAGGAGAGCTTGAACAGCTAAGCGCTCCTGTGCCACTCACCGTGCTGTGGAGCTGGGACGTCAATGGGGGCATTGAAAGAGCAATACCTCCACTGTATATACAGCAATAGCGATGGCCTCCGCCCTAGTAGCATGGCCTCCAACTTACTAGCGATGAATCCGCGTGAATGCGTGCTCCACCACTGTGTCAATGATTTTGCCTTTGTCTGAGCATTCCCATCCAGCATCCACAAGGCCCATGCAGTCGTGACTAAAATTGGGATCGGTCGACTGCATCCAGACTGCTCATTTCCGGGAAGCGCATGATGCAAGGTTTGCAAAGTAGAGTGCAACATAGTGCAACACACCAAAAGAAACAAAGTGAAGAATCACTGAAGAAGAACAAGCAGCAAACCGTACAACATCCATTGTACAAAAACAAACAATAAACAAACTCCTCTTCAATTCCAATCGAAGAAAAAATGTCAGTGAACAGCAAAGGGTGGTGAGTTTGAGTACTTGGTTTCCGCCCACATTGAGTTCGATTGTCAGGTCAACTGTCAACTCCACAGCCCCTGCAGATCTGAACACGTCTTGTTCGTGGTCGACGGTATTCGACGGTCGAAGCCCAACATGTTCATGGGCCAACCACCTATCCCTGCCGGTCGTGGATCCTATCGGTGCTTGGCCCATTGTGCCGGTTGCAAAAGGTGTTTATTGGTGACTGGGCATTGCATCCATAGAGCAGGGCTTGGTGACTGGTATGGCTGGTTGGCCATACCCCAAGATCCGCCGAGTCTCCAGGTTTTCAGGATTTCGATTCTCTTTCCTTGGGCACCAAGGCTGATCCATGGCATGAGGCGGCTGATCCAAGTGTATGATACAGCTTTCACTTGAGACCCCTTTAAACTTGACCTTTTGAAACAAGTAAACACTTATTCCAGTGCTGTACCACGCTTCAGAAAAACTCTGGCCAATTGCACCTCCTTTTCCAAGTTGAACTCAGGATGATTCTCTCCAATCTCAATGTAGGAGGAGGGACGATACGGCTTCCGTGCCTTCACGAAGAGAGCTCGATGAGTGGGAATCAAATAGACGATCCACACGAACATCTGCACTCCAAATCCAAAGTAAATGATCCCGGCCACCGCGATTCGAAGTGCTACTCTGGAATTGAAGGTCACGTGTCTCTGGGTCAAGACCTCTGCCAAAGGTGAGGTTAGAATCAACGAGGCCCAGAATAGGCAAATGGCCAAGAAGACAATAAACGCGACTCGGATCAACAAGTTGAACTTGGGACACTGATACTCCCAAAGCTCTGGGCGTGTCTGGCAGTCGTGGAAATTCACGGGTAGTGCTTCGATGAGTCGCAGAATCAAATAGGTCGGGAAAAACCACACTGCGATAGCAAGTACGGCCTTGGAGCAAAGTGTGTCTTTATGATTCCATGAGCTAGCTGGCTGTCAGCTCTTCGTCTTTTTGGTCGACTTTGTAACATGTTGAAAACGGGCATGGAGCAACCACATGCAAAGGTCAATCATACCACGTCATGCAGCTCCAGCTCCAGCTGCAGCTTATGACGTCAATATGGTCAGGCGTGGTGGTTCTTAAGCAAGCCAAGATACAACCAGTAGATCCAAAGGCAACATACCATTCCCAATTAGCTGTGTCAGAAGCTCAATTGCTCTCGCCGTTACAGGCCCGATGGCCAAGCCAACAAACGCTGACACAACCTCACGCCGACAAGCGACACAACGATAGCAGCTGTAACAAGAGCTTCTCCAACATGACAAAAGCTCAAAAGCCAAAGTTAGGGACATGGATCAAATTTCCAAATCGACTCAATGCAAGCAACGGCTGTTACGAACTTATGTGTGGACCCTCATTGTCTTCCAGACTTTCCTGTGCTGAGCTGCAGTAAAAACCGTTGCTGACCAGAAACACCCAAGAAAAGCACATAGCACATCATCGAATGCACAGTGTGCAAACATCGCAGTTCCGAAATCGCCAGCCGTTCCTCCCATTCTTCGTGGTGGTAGCCACATGCTGTGCCCACCAAGCAAGTGCTATAGTCCACTGCACCAGACTTCAAAGCCAGCCGGAAAGGAACCTCATACCTAGTGGGTGGGGATGCAAAACACGGTGGATGTTCAACACAATTTCCTTCACGTACACCTGCACATGTGGTTCTCATCGGTTGTCTACCTGCCGCCTGCTACGAACAATTGGCTCATGCAATGAGTCCGGTGCATTTTGGCCCTCGTGCGAAGCGTGCTCATGTGAAATGCACAAAACCCTATGCAAAGAACAGGCTTCCTTAGCTATGGGTTCCAAGGCTCTGCTGGTAGTAGAGATAGTCTCCTACCAAGGGGGCCCGATGCACCATCTCCAGCTTCTTCACTGCATTCACAAACAACAAGAAGGGCGTGCCGATCGCTAAGATGGCCTCCAACTCTGGAAGCACATAGTAACAAGCGCATTTTCCTATCAGGGTTGTTGAATTTTCGGCTTCACGTCTCCACGCGATTTGATGAGACTGGGGTGTATATACCATGGAAACCTTCAAAGCAGCGGGGATGAGATGCGCTGGGGGTCCCGTTACTGGCTGAAGCGGTGAAGCACATGGACCTGGGGTTCATCTTGTCTTAATTGACACAGGCCGCACCACATTTGGATACATTTGGCAAGCGCTGCACAACTATGCCACATGAATTACGCAATGCCCGCCAAACTTGTTGTATCTTGTTGTTGCGCAAAAACATAGTCTGGCAGCCTGGGACCAGTTCGGCGACAAACACTTCAACTGCGCCCATGCTCCATAGAAAAGCAGTCGAGACAGCCATGAGCTGGAAAAAGACTGAGGCACAACCAATGCGTAAGGTTGTGTATTCATGTGCTCCGCCCAGCAGCAGCCAATCGTGAAGAACTTTGAACACGGACCACAAGGTAATGAACCACACATAGATCACACGACACCAAGATTTGTCCAAAGGATTGATGATTCCTTGGGATGACGCAGTGACGGCAGCCGTTTGCAAGCGGCATAGGAACAATCGGTTTTCTTTCTGACATACATATATTAACTAGCAATAGAATGTCATAGAGCTATGCACATAGCATCACATAATTACATGCTGTCATCATCTTTCATCTACAGTAGCCATCACACCTTCAAACTCAGCCCTGCATGAGGAGATTGACTGTAGCAGCCAAAGATCGATCGCGCGCCCAGCGAGAATCACACTGGTGCCGCATGTGCTCAGCCGAATATGTTGGGCAAAGCGGTGACAAAAAGTCCTCGCTCAATTCGCTCTGGCTCAAATTGCCGTTCACAACCTTGAATCCACTCACACAGCAAGTGGCAATGCAATAAACAAGTTCACTTGCCTTGGGTGCTCTGTAAAATAAGATCGTGGCCACGTCGAACGCCTGCATCGACAGACTAAAGGCACGCCAAAGAGACATATAAATTCCCGACAACAAAGCGCAATAAAAACACCGGGGTATGCGGTCTCAAGAGGTGCAGAAGCCGAGTTGCATGCTTCAAATTGAAGGCGTTCACGGTTGAAGGAACCATACCGCTGCCGAAGATCTTCCTTGCTTCATTGCACATGGAGCAACGGCATAGATCAAGCTTGCCCTCTGGAACTGCCAAGCTGTTAAAAAGGGATGCTACTTGAAATATCATTGAAACACACAGGACCTGATATATATATAATATATATACATATATAACATACTGGTACGAGTATGTAACGCACTTCAAAAGGAACAAGGCCCAGTCCGGTCCGAGTTTCATGAATGTGCAGGCTCTTTGGCTACAGGGCACGAAGGTGGCCTCATCGATTCGGGAGAGCTTGGAGACCAGCAAGGCGAAGGGATAGGTGGTCACAATGGTGTAAGCGAGCGCCTGCCAGCGCAAAGGTTAAAGGCACACGTGTCAAGGCACGTGTCACGGCATAGCAAGATCGGCCGGGACCCGAGAGGCTGGGTGGAAGGTCAAAGACTTGCGGAACGTTGATCGGTCGCATGCCCAGTTTCATATGACAGCTCAGGCGCTTAGGAGGGATTGCAAAATCAGAAACCAACCAGTCGCCCCTTTGATCCCTCCTTGGCATAGGCCGATAGCTTCATGGTAATGCCATGGCCACATCTAGGACGGCGCGTCAAAGAGCTTGCATCACTCACGTGCCAGGTGGGTCACAGCACATCCGTGCACATCCGTGCATGATGCTTCAACAAAGCAGTATCAAGCTTGTGCTTGAACATGTTTTAAACTATGTAAGGATTTGGATGCGTTCGGCTGTGTTGATAGTTCCATCTTATTATAGTGCTAAAGTTTTTGCATTTTTTCAATAAGTGTAAGCCACTGGAAAACATGAAAACATGTAAAGACTTGGTATGCATCTTACTTAACGTAAAAGGACCTCCGAGCCAGTCACAGGTGCTTTCAGCTAAGCTAGGACGCAGTTTCACGAAATGCACCTAAAATATTCTAAACTCGTGACACCTAACTAACATGTTGGCTTTGAACTTGTCATATATGCACTTGCCGGCACATAGAAACGCATGTTGTGCGAAACCACTCAAAACCGGCCATGCACAACCGGATGCCAACCGATTCTGCTCACGATTCCGGTTTGCATGGTGCAAGAATGCAAGAGCGCCTCAACTTCAACCCATGTAGAGCGCTGTACAGGTCCCCGAATCCTGGGCAGATCTGGGCACTCTGCGTAACAGGATTTTGGAGCAAAGGCAGCGAAGGCATTGACCAGTAGTGTCTACAATATGTTGACCAGGGCGCTTGTCCCAGTTTCCGCTTTGTGAAAGCGACCCCGCGCCTTGGAAAGGACAAGCAGCCCTCGGCCTGCGACGTCTCACACCATTCTGTCCCAGTGGAAGGTCTTGGAACTTCCGTTTTGAGGCCAGCTCCCCAATTAAATATTTATATTAATGTCTCATGCAACAATCTTCAGATTCGGCCAAGCCCAACAAGATCTTATACCATACCAGGTTACCAGTTGTGCCAATCCTTGGAGGTCTCAACTTCAACTTTGGAGAGCGCGGTCTGCCAACCGCTTCAACTCGACGAGGTGCGCCTGGTAGTCCTTCTCGTTGCCCAAGGCCTTGATCTGAGGATTCACGAAGACCTGACGAAGTGGTGTTAGTCAAAAACGATTTCTTGGTACGCCCTACCTTCCCCCCCAAGAGCAAGCTGCTTCATCATCTTCATCAATGATTTTCTCGGCATCGACGTCGACATCGCTATTCACGTCGCTTCACGACGGTAACCGCCCGCACCGCATGGGAGGGCTCAAAGACTGCAGTCATGCTCCAGGAACGGGTCAAGGTAGGTACTTCCATTGAACATAGCCCCAGAAGTCACCCCCCCCCAACGTGGAGCCAAATATCCGGACATTCAAGTCCCTATCTCGCGGACACGTCCTTTAGATAGTGACTTCTAAAGCTATGTTAGGCAATATGGAAGCTATGTTCGGTCACGGTGGGGGGGGGGCTTTATTCCAGTCCCTTTTGACCCCTCGTTGGGCTATGTTTACGACGTTCAAGTCCCTATCTCGCAGACACGTCCTTTAGATAGTGACTTCTAGAGCTATGTTAGACAATCTCTTTACTTTATTCCAGTTCCTTTTGAGCCCTCGTTGGGCAATGTTTTGCGTTCAAGTCCCTATTTGGCAGACACGTCCGTTAGATAGTGACTTCGAGGGCTATGTTAGGCAATATGGAAGCTATGTTGAACCACGTGAAAATGTTATGTGGAGCCAAATATCCGGACATTCAAGTCCCTATCTCGCGGACACCAAATATCCGGACATTCAAGTCCCTATCTCGCGGACACGTCCTTTACATAGTGACTTCTAAATAGCTATGTTAGGCAATATGGAAGCTATGTTCGGTCACGGTGGGGGGGGCTTTATTCCAGTCCCTTTTGAGCCCTCGTTGGGCTATGTTTACGACGTTGGAAGCTATGTTCGGTCACGTTAGGCAATCTCTTTACTTTATTCCAGTCCCTTTTGAGCCCTCGTTGGGCCATGTTTTGCGTTCAAGTCCCTATCTCGCAGACACGTCCGTTAGATAGTGACTTCTAGGGCTATGTTAGGCAATATGGAAGCTATGTTGAGCCACGTTAGGGGAGCCTGTTCAGCCAAATGTCCGGCCTCAGTCCAATTACACTTTACCGCGCAGATGATTCAAATCATGCAAAGGAAGAAAATTGCATTTCTTGCATCACCAGGGGCTTCAAAATAGCGCGAATTCATCTTCCAGGATTCTAAAGCGAAAATGCCCCCCCCCCCCGCTAGCTAAAGCTATTGGCTTGCCCAGGCTAGCTTACGTATACCGCGTGCCCTATAAAAACGCCTCGGCACCTTCGGTGCGGGCGGATTTGCTCGGCCACACTCCTCTCTAGCTGTTGACAATATTCACGCAAAAATTGACAACGTCCATTGCGTCTCACGGGCGCATTATCGGGCGCCCCATCTATCAACAGTATGAGACGGGCCCCTACACGAGCCCGCTTCTTTCGCGGGCGTCCGATTGGACGTCACTCAGAATTCTCAACATTCGGCCACAGAGTTCAGGGGCGTGGCCAGTCACTGTGGCCAGGGCTGGTCAGCGCGGCCAGAGGACAACAGCAGGACAAGCGAAGGACAACAGCACGACAACAAGAGGACAAGACCCGGCCACAGAGTTCAGGGGCGCGGCCAGTCAGTGTGGCCAGCCCTTTTTTTCCTCCTAAGATAGAACCCCAACAGTAAACTGTTTAGGGACAAGCAAATTAAGAGTTGGAAAGCATCTCAGCAATTCCGCTGATTCAAGTCAACCAATAATGAATGAACCAAGCTTGCGTGTCCCAAGCAAAGATCCCGGACTCTCAGCTCCTGACTGTCTCATCATCCCGGGTCCGCGGATTGGGGTTGTAGACCATGACGCGCAGGTTAATTCCAACCTGAACCATCATCTCACATCCATCAGGACAGGGAAGCCACAAAAAATATGGATAACTTCTGCCCAATCATTGGCAAATTCATCAGCCACCTTGCCTGAGGTGCTGCGAGGCCGATCCCATCTCCTCTTGGCGCCGCTTCGCTGCGAATGAATACTGTGGGCGTGGTCGATGATGCGTGGCACTCGGTACAATTTTGTTCGTTCAGTACCTCACAAATAACCAGGACTCACCATCAGGAGCAACCACGCTAGTTACTTGGGGCTCCTGGCATCGCTACTAGGAACAAGAAGCTACTAGGGGCTCCTGGCCATACTACTACGTAGGAGCAAGGACTCAACATTAAGTCGTCTCCCCTCTCTTAGTGAGGGGTCCCGTGAGCGCCCCCGGGGACTATTGGGTTTCATTTTATAGGGGACCTGAGCGAATCAATGGGCTTACACGGCAAGT